TAGTTCTTCGTTTTTTCCTGGATAGCTTTGCTATTTTTCTTTTCATTAGTGTCTAAAAGAGTAAGATTTTTTTTATTTTCTTCATCATATGCTTTCTATTTAATTTATTTTTGCTCTTTATTTTTAATACCATCTACTTTTCTTTTAGGTTTACTCTTATATTCTTTTTCTATCTTTTTAAATACCATTTTTAAACCTATTGATTTTTGTCTTTTCTGTTACGAACATCTACCAATTTAGCTATAACTCACATATTTTGATATTTTCATTTGCTTATAAGTATTTCCCAATTAACTTTATAACTTTTTATTTGAACTGCAAGCTAATTTCCAAGAAAATAAATTTCATAAACGAAAATTAATTGCCTTGGAAAGGGTGTGGTCTATGGACATGCATGTATGCTCCTCCTGATTCTTTTGATTATTGCATTACAACTTATTTTAGGGCTTAGAATATTATCCTTCCCGGTATTTTGCTCCCATTGAAGAAAATTGAAAGTGAATGGCATACTTTTTATATATATTAAAATTTTGCCTTGATTATAGTTTGAGTTTATTCATGAGAGTTTATATTTGCCTTCTGCTTAGAAAAAAACTTTATATTCAGTAATTTTTAAGTAGATACAATATTTTGGATGCTATATTTGTGCTGGCATTATAAATTTAAAGTGTTTGTAAAATCAATAATTAATATTGAATCAGCTGTTGTCATAGTGCTTCATGTGACAGATTGGTTTCCCTGGGAGGCAGACTGTAATGACAATTTTCATGCAAAAAAATTTTTAGGAGATTGCTTTGGGATCACTACCTGTGGAAGAGAAGGGTGGAGGCAGGATTGGATAACAGGAGAGGTGAGCCTAGGATGCAGTTTGAGAGAATGCCTCAGCTGACTCCATAGTGTGTGCTACACAGTTGTTTTAAATTAGGGTCTTTACGCTCCTGCATCATTGAATGCAGACTGTCCCAGGAATAAGGTATGACCATGGGCACTGAATCTTTCTTAAATTGAAATAATTCCATAGAAGACCAATGGATATGGACTGTCTGCTTACAGCACTTCTAGCAGGTGGGAGAATAGGTTCTTTATTCTCAAAGGAGAAAGTATACTGCCCAACACTTATCTGCACATTGTCTAGGATTTTGGTGAATTAGATTGGGCCACCGTAGGTGCCAAACTACATACTGGGCCATATCTGCCCTGTGTATTTCTCATCATGTGTGGATGAGAAAAGTCAGTTAGCACTACAGGGCAAAGCCAAATGCACAAACACATGTCAAGGCTTTGTCCTGTCACATATCTTAGCATCCCACTGGCCAAGCAAGTCACATGGCCAAACCTACCATCATTGGACTGGTAGAATAGTCCCCAGTGGAGGTCCAGAAAGAGGGAGTGATAATTTGCTAAACAACAGTATAGTTTACCATATTATGATTCTGCTTAATGAACAAAAGATGAAATTTCCATTGCCAAGATTTCCTTGTCAGTCTTTCTCCTAAAATACTTCTGTTTGTCATCTCCATCTGTTATGAATGAAATGAAATATGACAACACCTTCACCACTTTTTGGCAGAAAGAACAGCTTGTGCTGGGTTATGATTTTTAAAATTCATATTTGAATGAATCTTGCAATGTGTACATACCTCTATTGAAAACATTGTATATGTTGCTTTATACTTAGTTTTAAATTTTTTTTATTTTAAATTGAAGTATATGTGCAGTAGTATATATGGAGTGTCCTATACTTTGTTGCATACTGTAAAAATTTTTACATATGCATACATCCATCTAACCACCAACAACCAGATTTAGCTAAAGTATACCAGTATCCCCAAAGTTTCCTCTCATGCCCCTCCCTAGGCAGTATTCTGACCTCGCACACCACTGGTTGATTGTTCCATTTTTCAAACTTATCTGTCTCTTCAATTTTTTATTCTCTTGTTGATAAGTCATTGGTTACATCTCAAACTACTACATTCTTTAATAGCTTATTTCCTACATTTAGCTTTATTTTTCTTTGTTGGATATTGTCTCTTCTGTTGTAGAAAGTATATTCATGCTTTACTTAAAGCTTTTAAGAGTAGAGTTGGACTATAAAGTATTTTTTATAGTCTAACTTTACTAATATATGAAAAGAATTTTTTCATATATTAGAAGGACAGGGATAATATGGACTTCTAGCAAATAATGTGGTCCTCTGGTTTCCTTTGTGAAATTGATCATTGATTTCACCCTAATTATGTCCTAGACATTCCATTGTTTATATGCCTAGTGGGATGTTTACTTTCTGCCCATACTAATCCTACTGCACTCTTTTCTGAGCTGTGGTTTGTTTATTTTTTTTTAAGACTGAATCTCACTGTGTTGCCCAGGCTGCTCTTGAATTCATGGGCTCAGTGATCTTCCTGCTTACATGCACTATTATGCCTGGTTTGGCCTGTGTAGCCATTGGAGATTTCAAGTATATTATCACCTGAGATAAGTGCATTTAATTTTGCAACTTCTGGTTTCAGAACACCAGTTAGTTATAAAAATTACTTTTATCTTGAGGAATTTCATAATCATGTTTAATTTGTATAAATATATTTTTTGGAGGAGGTCCTAGGGATTGAACCCAGGGCCTTGAGCAACCTAGGCAAATACTCTACCCCTGAGCTACATCCCCAGCCCGTGTATAATTATTGACTTTAGAATACTATTTAATCTTTTAATTTGTTATCTATTGTAAATTTAGAAAGTTATAAAGTATTGACTTATGAACTGTATTGTTAATTGAAAAGATTTCTAAATGCTATTACTGACTTTTTTCATTTTCATAGGCCAGTTATTCAGAAACAGTAATTATTTAGTTTCAGAGACAATATTAACATGTATAAAAGTAGTGAGGTTAGCTAGAGAATTGTGGAGAGCAGATTGTGAAAAGCCTATGAGAACTGGACATAAGCAAGGCGAGATGCAGCTTAATTGCTTTTACCTTTAGGCTGAGATAGGCACAGCCCCAACCATGAAACAGAAAAAAGCAGAACAGCTGCATCTTCTAAGCTTAGAAGCAGGAGGGCAGGTTTCTCCTTGTTACAAGGTCACGGCACTCCCTGAGAGCCTTTGCTGTACCCTCCACTCCCCGAGAGCCTTTGCTCTACCCTGTTTACCCTATGGCCTGCTGAAAGAGGGCTTGGGTTTTTGGGGTCTTTGGCTTGATTCTTTTCCTTTGGGCTTTTTGGTGGGAAGCTATTGGAAGAGAAAAGAATGGCTAAAGGGAAAAGAATGGTAAAGAGGGGTTGGTAGAAAATCTGCACCAAGAACTTTAACATAGGTCTTAGAAAGCTAAGCCAAAGAAAGAAATTTAACATAGGCGTTAGAAGCTAAAGAAAAGCCAAAGAGAACATGTGACAGTACAAAGTAGAGGATGGAGATTTTGCAAGTCTGAGCACTGAGGCTTTAAGAAAGCTAAAGAGAGAATGCTAGAGAATGCTGAAGAAAAGCTGCAAGCCTGGGGGCCAAAGACTTTAAGAGCGATTAGGCTAAAGATAAGCTAAGAGAAAACATGGGACTGTGTGAGTCTCAGGAAAGAGGTTTTAAGCAAGGTTTTAAAGAACTGCAAAGGAATAAGGCCTTAAAAAATAAAGATAGAGAAAAGAAGCAATGAGGGTTGGGCATCTTCACCTGAGCACCCAACATACCTCACCACACTTTCTGTCTGTCTGTCTATCCTGTATCTTTTCTGAATCTCCAGTTGCCCCCAGTTAAGCCCACTTAGGTTCAGTAATAACCAGGAGCAAGAGAGAAAGCTCTCTCTAACAAAGGAGGGAGCAAGAAAATAGTGCCCCCTCCAGAGAAGCAGAGTTTTTAGTTGATTCTGAAATTTTGCAGAGCATAAGCTAGGAGTCAAGATCATTTACAATGTTTTTGCAGCCTCTGCTGCAGAAGGTAAGAAGAAATTCACTTGGAAGTTATTGTTCTATGATTGCGTCACATAAGCAAAAAAACTGTACTGGTGTTTCTACTGTTATTATTAGTAGAAAACTGAGAGTACCAAATCCTAACTGCTATACTACCAAGGAACTTCAAAACTAGGAAATTGGTAATAAGATTTACACTCTCAAACAGAGAGCCAAAATCTGTGTTTGGCTTTTGTTTTGTGGAATCCAGTGATTTGTTTTAAGTGAGGTATCAACTCTAGTTAAAGCAGTCAGCTGGTGTATTCAAACAGTTCTGCATGTTCTAAATGCTGCCTTTCACCCTATCAACAAATTCATTTCCCATACCCTTAATCAATGTCTTGGTTAATATAGTGCAGCATAAATATATGCCATTCTGCCCCTCCTATTCCCTCCCTCCACCTCTTTTTTTTTTTTTTTCTTAAAGACAGGGTCTTCCTACATAGAACAATCAAACTCACAATCCTCCTGCCTCAGCCATCTGAGCCTCACAACAGTCTACCTGTCCAAGTAACCCTGGTCATCTTTTCTTAGTCTTCCAAAATCTCAACCAAGTTAGCATTTTAACATGGATTTATAATTTCATTTGTTTTGTCTTAACCATCACATTTTATTCTATTGTTTTCTTTCCATCTCTTGGTCTTAGCATATTGTTGTCTTAATCTAACCTGAGGATATTTTTTCTTACTCCAATACATAATCTGTTTTTTCCCTAGTCAAGGAAGGCTATGCTAACCTTACACAGTAAGTGAAGTGACTTTGTTGTTTTTAATCAGAAGGATGGTGAAACTTACTTTGTTCTCAGTTTAATAGTTTGAGTATTCTAGATCTTCATGATTAGGTTGTCATAATAAATCAAATGTATTTTTAAAAATACATACCTTAAATGGTACAAGTCAGCATTCTTTTAAAACAATAAATGATATTTAAAATAGTTATTCTGTTGTGTTATTTAAAGTAAGTACTGCGAATTGTTAATTATTGAATTGTGCATTTTAGTGTTTCTATTCCTAAATAATCTAACAAGTGTGCATATCTAGTTTTTCTTATTCTGTTTTTTTCTAGTTTCATGCTATGGATACATTGTACAGACACAGTTATGATTTGAGCAGTGCAATTAGTGTCTTAGTACCACTCGGGGGACCAGTTTTATGCAGAGATGAAATGGAAGAATGGTCAGCTTCTGAAGCCAGCTTATTTGAAGAAGCACTGGAAAAATATGGCAAAGACTTCAATGACATACGTCAAGACTTTGTAAGTAGAAAGTTGTAAATAAACTGAAATGTTAGGATGGGACTATTTTGTCTGTTTTAGAAACCTGGTAAATCTTATACTATTCATTTAGCAAACCTATGACATAGTAAATTTTTTGTTGGTGCAGATGAAACTGAGGATCTTGAGCATGTGCTATACTGTGCTACACCCTCATCTCCTGGCATGGTAATTTTTATCTGCTCAAACAGATGAAAGCCAGTTTACAAAGGGAGAATACAACATTTATTCCAGGAAGTAATTGTAAGATTCAGGCTCAGGAGGCCCTGAGTTCTTAGTTTGAACCTTGGTGATATGAATTTATCCTGAGTGACAAGTTAAACTATGAATATTCTGACCATTTGTGTAAAACATTTATGATCTCTGAGTTTGGGTGCATTGTTCTCCTTTAAACCTTCTGTGTTTTTCTGGTTGTCTTACTAATTTTTTTTTTTTTGGCAGTACTGGGGTTTGAACTCAGAACATCATGCTTGCTACGTGGGCGCTCTACCCTTTGAGCTACTCTCTCAGCCCTTTTTTGTGTTGGGTATTTTGGAGATAGGGCTTGAGAGCTATTTACCCAGGCTGGCTTCGAACTGCAATATTCCTGATCTCTGCCTCTTGAGTAGCTAGGATTACAGGCATGAGCCATGACATCTGACTGTCTTACTAATTATTGAACCTAATTTGATGCACACTTGTAATGTATAAGTGACCCCCGTACCAAACACAGTAGCAGAATTTGCTTCTGGGCTTCAATCTTTTTTTTTTTTTAATTTTTTTTTTATTATTCATATGTGCATACAATGCTTGGGTCATTTCTCCCCCCTGCCCCCACCCCCTCCCTTACCACCCACTCCACCCCCTCCATCTCCCCCCTCCCTCGATACCCGGCAGAAACTATTTTGCCCTTATCTCTAATTTTGTTGAAGAGAGAGTATAAGCAATAATAGGAAGGAACAAGGGTTTTTGCTAGTTGAGATAAGGATAGCTATACAGGGAGTTGACTCACATTAATTTCCTGTGCATGTGTGTTACCTTCTTTTTGATCTAACCTTTTCTCTCGTTCCTGGTCCCCTTCTCCTATTGGCCTCAGTTGCTTTTAAGGTATCTGTTTTAGTTTCTCTGCGTTGAGGGCAACAAATGCTAGCTAATTTTTTAGGTGTCTTATCTATCCTCATATCTCCCTTATGTGCTCATTCAGTCTTTTTTGAAGTGATATAGGGATTGAACTCAAGACCTCAGGTTTGCTATACAAGCCCTGTACCACTTGAGTCATGCCCCAGCCCTTTTTGGGTTTGGTTTGTTTTTCAGATAGCGTCTCTCGCTTTAGCCTGGCTGGCCTTGGACCCCATGATCCTCCTACCTCCACCTTCCAAGTAGCTGGGATTCCACATATGTACCACCATGCCCAGCTTGTTTGTTGAGATAGTGGTCTCCTTACCTTTTTACCTAGGCTGGTCTCTGACTGATTTCTCCTAAGTACCTGGGATTATAGGCATGATCACTATGCTTGGTTTGGTTTACTATCTTTGACTTTTCTTAATGATATACAGTATCCTACTTACTTTTTTAATATTTAAATTTTATTTTTTTCAACTTTATTGATGTGTAATTGAGAAATACAAATTGTACATATTTAAGGTGCACAATATGATGATTTGGATTTGATATACACACACTGAGAAGTGGTTACATACCACAATTAACATATCTACTCTCACACTTTGATACTGTGTGTGTGTTGAGACACTTTAGATCTATAGTCTTCACTTTACATTTTAAATTTTAGGTAATTTTGTCTGCTATATTATGTACTTCTTTTTGTCTTTGTATTTATGGACTCTCTGTTCTTTCCCTCTGTCTTTGTCTTTGCAGTGCTAGGGATTAAACCCAGGGCCTCAAGCATGCTGGGAAAGTTCTCTACCATTGAGTTTATTTTGTTTGTTTGTTTGTTTATTTTGAGGCAAGGCCTCACTATATTGCTCAGGCTGGCCTTGATTTTGAAATCCTCCTGCCTCAGCCATTTAAGTGGCTGGGATTACAGACATGTACCTGCACAGCAGACAACTTGCTTGTTTAGTTAAATTTAGTCTCTTTGAAACAAAGGAAGTTTTTATTTGAGAAGTACATAAATAGCTTTTTGTAGAAACCATCCTTTATTTTGAATTATGAAAATAGAATGTTTATAGACTATCACATATTTAATAATGAGCCAGTATCCTGCCTTTTGTATTATTACATATCTTCTGAATTAATTCTAAATCAAAATTATTACTTATTATGGCTGCTACATTAAATTCCAAGCATAGTAATTAAAGCTGTTAGTGTTTTTTAATTCATTTTGGCCACCTCACTCATAGTCAAATTGCTATGTGCCATAATTTAAGTTTGTTTGGTGCCAGCTGGGTGTAGTGGCACATCTTGCCATCTCAGCACTTGGGATTCTGAGGGAGGAGATTAGGAATTTGAAGCCATCTTGGCTGCATAGAGAGAGAGAGACCTTACCTAAAATAAATAAGTTAATTAATTAAATTAAATAAATGAATAAATAAATAGCAGGATGCACAGCTGAGAATTTAAAATGCATACCTGGTATTTAACTTCAGGTGATTAGAATAGCACAAGAAATAATGCAGTGTTATTAATATAGAAGTTATTAATATAATAGAGTTATCACTAAAATAGAATTGAAAGAACAAAATCTACAGGTTTCATAAAGAAATAGATGATGAGAAATGCTAAAGTGAATCTACTTTTCCTTGTACTGGTGTGACACTCTCATTTTATGTTCTAGTGATCATCTTGAAGTCAGTTAAGTTCAGCAAATGTTTATTGAGCACCTGTAATGTGCCAGGCCCTCAGGTAGGCACTAAGTATGGTCCTTACTTCAGGGAATTAGTTCATAGTCAAGATGATGAGATTGAAAAATATATATGCAGGTAAAATGTAATATATTCCTGTCAGTGGATAAACAAGTTATTCTGGGAATATCAGGAAGGATTAGTTGTGCCAATCAAGTCAAGATAGTCTTATAGGAGTTATCTGGCATTTTCTCTGGCTCTCTGAAAGCAAAGGGAGAAAAGAGCAGATGGCAAAAGTTGAAACTGAGGAATGGGAATTGGAAATGGCACTTAACACAGGACTAGGAGGGAACTCTATGAACCATAGGTTGATGTAGTAGTCTTGGTTACAGAAGCTGACATTTGTATGAGATAAAATTGCTATATGCAAAAGAATATCATAGTAATAATGTTTATGTTTTTTGTTTGTTACCTTCATAGTCTAATAAAATTCTTACAAATTTGTAGCATGTCATATATTAGTTTTGCTGTTGTTTTCCTCTAGCTTGTTTGAGCCAAAAGCTTAGTGAAACAGTAAATAACTAGGGAAATTGAAGAAATAGAATTTAGATTGACCCTCTAAGAATTACTCTAAAGAACAGATCAATAAGGATGCTGGTGTTGCTGTTACCAGCAGAAATGTAACTACTGGGGCTAGAGGCGTGGCTGAAAGGGTAGAGTGCCTCCCTAGCAAACACATGGCCCTGAGGTCAAACCCAGTGCCAAAAAAAGAAAAGAAATATAACTACTATATTGGAACACTGCCTTTCCATCTCTACCAGAGCCCGATGATCTGTCTTTGTGATTTCTACCAGCAGGCTGCTTTGGTACCAGATCTGTCTCTCTTCCCAGTGCATCTGGGACCCAAATTATATATAGAATCTTAAATGCAAAGAAGTCAGGGAAATACGGATTTTAACTCCAGAGACTGTCTTCTAGAATGTGCTTAGGATGCTTGTTGATGAGCCAATATTTTTATATTTGTTGTATTTTGAAGACCCAAATTGGAACAAGGTGGTGAAATCTCAGGACTCAAGTGGCAGAGTGCTTGCCTAGCATGCTTGAGGCCCTGGGTTCAGTTTCCAGTACTAGAAAAACAAAAACAAAAACCCCACAATGAAAACAAAAACCCCACAACAAAAACAAAGACTCACTATGAACAAAATAGAATGTCAGGAGGTTTACTGCTCAGAGTTGTGTTTTCTTAGGCTTTTTTTTTGGTACTGGAGCTTGAACTCAGGGCCTATACCATAAGCCACTCCACCAGCCCTTTTTTGTGATGGATATTTTCAAGATAGAATCTCATGAACTATTTGCCCAGGCTGGCTTCGAACCATGATCCTCCTGATCTCTGCCTCCTGAGTAGCTAGGATTATAGGCATGAGCTACCAGTGCCCGGCTGTTAGGCATACTTTTAAAAGTAATATATAGGCTGTTTCCACTGGCTACTCCTTGCTGGGCAGCCGTGTGAAGCAGCTCCTTAGGGCAGTCCCGGTCGCTTAACGGCCAAGGAGCCATCCGCTTTAAAAAAAAAAAAAAGTAATATATAAACCTAGTAGAAGAAACAAAATACATTCATACACACACACATGCATGCACATACAAACATACTACCTATATTGCCATCACAGGTACATGAAGTTGTTGGGGTACTGTATTGCTCAGAGATACCATGACTTGAGTTTTTAAAATGTATTTTTAAAGTTGCAATGTCTGGTATAGAAAATAACATTTACTTAATGTAGATAAAGTTACACTAGTTTAAAATATGTGTATTGAATTGTATTTGTCATGTGTTTTAGTCTTTTTTGAAAGATGCGCTCTGTTAATGTTGAAATTTAAAAAAAAAATTCCAGTCTATCATTCCCTGCTCCTTGCTTGCACCCCTGCATCTTTAATAGTGGCCAAAGTGAAGAAAGTGCTACCCTTTTGTTAACAAAACACTGACTTGAAACATGTCCATTTAAAACTTTCTTTTTCTTTGTCTTTTTTCTTTTGGTGGGTAGACATTTAAAGAATAAGCACAAGAAAAAATATTTAGGAGGTGCATCAAGATCATTCACGTTCTTAAGTATAAAACTTAGATTTCTAATGTCAGCATTATACGTTTTCATTTTTCACAGTTTACAAAGGAGCATATATGTATGTATGTGCACATAT